AGTCTCGCATCGATGCTCTAGCAACATTGTGCCGGGCTCCAATCTCGCTTGTAAATCTCCCAGCTTCTTTGTTCCGCGAAGTATGAGACACGGTGTAACGAGCGATCTCATTCCCCCTCACCCTGCCCTTTTCCCTCCCCCCTCTCTCTCTCTCTCTCTCTCTCTCCTCTTTCTCTCCTGGGCTCTTTCGCCCAAGGAAATGATAAAACGCGGGCGCCAATTCCGAACGAGAAGCGAGAGACCATCCTCGAGCCTCGAGCACGTTTCTCCCCTTGCGAAAATTCCAAATTTCTCACCGGCCGATTCCGGATTCGGCGGCGCTCAATGAAAATCGAGATTTCCCAATCGAGCGAAATTCTCGCCACCAACCGTCGTTGCGGCGGCGATTGTCTGGTCTGGTCGTGAGCGCATCGCGACGCGAAACGGCCGCCGAGAGAAAGAGGCATAGAGGGGGCTCCCCCCCGCGGTATGTCTCGTACGAGGGATCATCGTGGCATATCAAGTGGCAGCGAGGCGTACTCTGACGTTTCGATTCTTCTGCGTAATTCGATTTTATAGCTTCCTCGCGAACGACTCCCGGCTCTTTCATCGTCGCGGCGGCAAGCTCCGGCCGAGCCGAGCGTCGGCGCACATCCCCATTCGGGAACCCGCGACTTCCGACGTGTGACGCGACTGCCAAGCGCGACGTCGCTTACCGTAATTCGCCGCGTCAAGATCGACGGCGCAAAGCGTTCTCGAACGCTCGACGAGAAATTGCCGCTTTCCTCGACGCGCTACGCCGCGCCGCGCCGCGCCGCTTCAAACTCGGCCCGATTCTTCCGCTCCGCGCGCGGCTTTCAATTAGACGTCTCGGGCGCGGCGACGAGGGGACCGAAATTTACGGCGCGCGTCTCTCGGGGGAACAATTAGTGCCGGTAAAAATGTGTCCTTTTCTCTCTTCTGCTTCATCTTTGTTTTTTCTTTTTTTTTTTTCTCCTTTCTTCTCGTTCTCTACGTTCACCCCGAGAGACGACGGCTCTCCGCCGTCCCGAGACACCGTAACGATCCTTCCCCGTCGGACTTGTTCGCCGAGACAGGCGCCGAGAGAGAACGCGCAGGAGAGACGCGGAGCGTTCCTAAAATTATTCCCCTTATCGGTCAATCGCGGTGTCAGGATATATATATACACACTTCTATCCGTTACGTACGCGCATGTACACGCATACGCGCGTACCTACACGGCGCGCGCACGCGCACACAGGCGCGTAAGGAGAGGCGAACGACGATCGAGATCCATATCGGAAAGGACAAGGTGCCTCTGTTCTACGTGGAGAAGTCTCTGGGTGCATTCTCTTTCTCCCTCTCGTCTCCTCCTTCTCTTCTTCCTCCTCCTCCTCCTCTTCTTCTTCTTCTTCTTCTTCTTCTTCTTCTTCTTCTTCTTCTTCACGTACTCGCAGACGCGAGTCGTAAAGCATACGCGCGCGCGCGGCTCCTCGTCCTGCGTGTTTCATTGCCTCTTGGCTCTCTTAATAAGCGACCTGACGCGAATTCCACCTCGTCGCATTTACGTCGCACGGGAAAATTAAAGCTCTGTGCTCGCGTCGTCGGCTCGACGTCTCATCCGCCTCTAATTACGCGATATTGTCTCGGAGGAGGAGGAAGGACAAGGGGGAGGAGAGCTTTGAATCCACTCGTCAGATTGTTTAATCGTGCAGACGGAGGTTGCGAGCTGCAAGACGCGTCTCTTCTTTTCTTATTTCTTCCTTGTCGTGTGAAGCGGCCGACGACGAAGGTCGCGATCGATTATTCAGCGGCCGATCGCGGTCGATATGAAAATTTGTGAGCATGCGCCATCGTCGCTTTTCCGCGGTTCCATCTTTCATTCATCGGCGGCGACGCGCGATTTCGTATGCGATCCGCGTATGCGGTTGCATCGTGTGTGACCGCATCAATCTGCATCCGAGTTCCCTTCTCCCGCTGTTTATTTCTCACCTGCCTCTCTTTCTCTCTCCTACATTTCGTGACTTTGTTTTCTCTTTCCTTTTTCCTCGGCGACGATGAACAGCGGAGGGAACGGTTTGATCCGCGTGTTCCGCCGACTTTGTCTTTATTTTCTCTCTTTCTCTTTTGTCTCTTTTGTTTGCACCTCGCGCACTTTCGGCGCACCCGAGCGCGCGCGCGGACTCCGACCTCTCTCTCTTTCTCTCTCTCTCTCTCTCTGCGGCGGTTCTTATTAAATCCGCTCGTATTGTATTCAAATTGGTTCGAGCTTTCGCGTCCTCCTTCTCCACCTCGGCTACCTCGTCGCGCGTCCTCGCATCCTTCACGACCTTGCTCTCCTCCTCGCTGTTGTGTCGCGAGTACTCGCTTATTAAAAGGCCCATTTACCGCCGGCGGATCGTTTCCGTGGCCCGATCCCAGCGGTAACCGCGACGATAAACGACGCGGCACGCCGTCATAATTGTAGAATCACGTACGCGCCCGGCGAAACGTACGGTCGTCAAGTCGATGAGGGAAAAAAACGCAATTCACACGAGAGAAAGCGAGAGAGAAGCCGCGTATCCTTCGCCGTCACCGTCGCCATCGCCGTCGCCGTCGCCGCCACCGAGAGGGCGACCGTTAATTCGGCAAATTCGGCCAATTGCGTAATTCCGAAAAGAGTCGTTGACCGTCTGGACGCCGCCGGGTGCGGTGGTGCGAAAGACGAGTAAAAAAATTTCGCGCCGGGGGCTGCGGGCGATCGAGCGACCGGGGGGAGGGGGCGGGAAGAGGAAGATGTGCCTCACACTCGCGCATGCACACACCCAGCTCTCTCTCTCTCTCTCTCTCTCTCTCCCCCCCTCTCTCCCCCTCTCTCTCTCTCTCTCTCTCTCGCGTGTCCAGCGCAATACCGGGAACCTTCTCCCCCAAGTTGGCAGTTGCGTCACGTCGCGGCGCGGCGACTACAAAGCGCCGCGGTTCCTCCCGCGACCCCCCTGCCGCCCCCCGTCGGCTCCGTGGGTAGCTCGCGATGCAGCACACAACACTTGCATACCATACTCATTTCGTACTTAAGCATTGCACGGAGCGCGCGTGTGCATCTCCGCACACGCACGCACGCGCGCATGGACGCGTCTCGGCCGTCAGCGCGCGCCAGCATCGGCGGATAAACAAAGGATTAATTAATGGAGACGCGCGACGCCCCCGCGCGCGCACCGGACTTCCCCTGTCTTCCTCGTTCGCGCCCGCGCGGATCCACCGAAGGAAGTTCTCCCTTTCCGCTCGATCTCTTCCGCGAAATGTTTTCCGCCCGGCGAACGCGCCGCCCGCGGCGGCGGATGCGTGTCCTGCGCCGTATTTTTCGGCGCGTCGACCGTCAGAGTCATCGAGTCGTGTATATTCCTCTTCTCTCGGCATGATTCGTGTCTCATCCGAATGATCATTTTTATTGCGATCTCCGCTCTTTATTATATATTTTTTTTTTCTTTCTTTCTTTCTTTTTGTGTGTCATCATTTAACACTTTTGAATCGAAATTCGCGGGAAACCGTCCTCGGCCACGACTCGACTCGTTCGCGAATGGCGCCGCTTCGCTGCCGCTCTGGCCGTTTATTTTTAGCGGGCGCATATTATCGTTAATTTCGATCGCGAGGCATAAGAAGCCGACGACCTCCTCCACCTCCTCCTCCTGCTCCTCCTCGTCGTCGACGAGAAATAATACCGTCGCAAGCGCGTGTGCGAGTGCGGACGAGGCGTGGTCGGTGACGCAGCATCGCGAATTGCGCTCGGGGACTGTCGATTCGTTAATTGCACCGGGGCTTCCAGAGACTACCAGGAATCTGAGGGATTCCTTAATTGCGCGCTCGCCGTCTGCCGCGCCGGCAAAGTGACGCGCTTCGCGACGTCCCGTCCTGTCGGATCGAATCCGCGACGCGCGCAATTTTCGTCTTTGTCGTCGCGCCATTATGGCGCGTCTTTATCTCAAGTCGACAAGATTCCGTTTGATCTCTCTCTCTCTCTCTCTCTCTGTCTCTGTCTCGCAAAAAGCTTTCCGTGAGGCAGAAATTCGCAACTGTTGCTGCAATTAGTGCATTCGCATGCAAATCGACCCGGTCCGGAGAGATAATGAACGGGTAACGAATGTAAATGCGTTAATTACGCGCCCGGCAGTGCTGATTATCCGGGCCGCGAGAAAGAGCTTGGCGAGACAATTTCGCGGATCTCGATCTAGTCCTAGCGAGTCCAACGACGAAAAACAGAGAGAAAGAGAGAGAGAGAGAGAGAGAGAGAGAGAGAGAGAGAGAGAGAGAAGCGACGACGTCGACGAGTGCTCTCTTTTCTCGTCGCTTAATTACCTCGCGCGCTCCAATTTCTTTCTTTCCCGGCAAGATCTTTTCTCCGCTTTCCGAAATCCGACCTCGCTTCGTCCAGCGGCGGTCTCTCTATTGAATCGCATCGCGCGTTGCGAATAAACACGTACACGCGCGCACACACACGTATACACGCACGCGGACGACAAGAGAACGGGGGGGGGGAAATTGATCGGTTATCGCACGGCCAAAGGGAGGGGGGAGGGAATCCGGACGGAACGTTGACCGGGTTCGGCGAAAAAATCGCAGATTGAAGTTTAGAATAAAGAAGCGAGTGTACTCCCCCGTCCCCTCCGACGCTGCCGTCCGTCCATCCGTCCGTCCGTCCGTCGAACATGCAACGCGTGATGATTTACGATCCTGCATAGGAGCGTACGAGCTACGCGCAACGCTCGAACGGAGAGAACGCATCGCGTTGCACTCGAGTGAATAACGTCTTCCGACGATCGCGATGCCTCCGTCCGCTTGCCTTCCCGCCATCATCACCACCACCCCCTTTCCGTTGCGTATCACCGCGCGCTGTTCGCGCCGACAATTTCAGCTGAAAACAAAACGGGAACCCGTCGTCCCCCCCCCCTCCCCCCCCCCCGCGCGTCAGGCTTTTCCTCCTTTGCCGCGCCTTTATCGTAGAATAAACTCCAAACTTAGCGAATTGTTGTCCACGACTGTTGCAGGTGAACCGGCCGCTGACGATGAAGAAGGAGGGCATTCAGACGAGAAACAGGAAGCTCTCGTCCAAGAGCAAGAAGAAGAAGGCCGGCGGCTGCCTAGGCCTGGGTGTCATGGGAGACATGATCAAGGCCAGTGGACACCTCGATCTCGATAACAAATCCTTCCACTCCGGCTTCGGAGCGCCGATGGGTAAGTCGAGAGAGAGAGAGAGAGAGAGAGAGAGAGAGGAGAGAGAGAGAGAGAGAGAGAGGGAGAGAGAGAGAGAGAGAACTTTACCGTTCATGACGGACGATTGTTGCTTCTCGCGAAATTAACCCGTTAGCGCTGTGAGACGGGGCTTTTTTGATCGAACAAAATCTATCGACCCATAACTTTCTTCTCCCGATTCTAATTCTACGTTCATCACAACTTCTCGTGCGAATCTTTCGCTTTCCGGTACCAAGAGTAGAGATACGAGCGGCAACGCGAGACTCGCGAGGGAGAAAGCAGCAAAGAGAGAGAGAGAGAGAGAGAGAGAGAGAGGGCGAGTCTCGCGAGAGTCTCGAGTGGGACGCGCGGACATTAAAGGAGCGCGCGGCTCTCATTATCGTTGCAGGTACGTCGCAGCATCATCACACGATGCATCCGGCGATGCAGCATTACATGTATCACACGGGTGTCGGCGTGGCCGGAGGTCTTCATCAGGGATTTGCGCCACCGGCGCCGCCCCCCATCCACCCGCACTCGCATTCGCATTCCCATTCTCATCACATGACGAGTCTTCAGGGTCTGCAGCTGACGACGAACGCGATGGTAAGTGCGCGCGCGCGCGATGGTCGTTACGTCCGACACGTCGGCTTAGATTGACCGAGAGCTCGGCCCCGCGAGCCGCCGACAATCGATCAGAGGATATCGATCTCTCCCTCTGAGCCGCGCGCGCGGAATTGCGCCCGCGAGACTCGCTCGCTCGCGCGAGCCGAACTCGACGATCATTCAAACGCGGCAACGGCGGACCAACGCCGCGCGGAGGAGACGATTCCTATCTTGGCGCCATTTTCTTTCTCTATAGTCGAGAGATATGAAATTTTCCGACGTGCTAAACGGCTATTATCGTTAGTTTCTTTCCGCGTAACTTTTGGCGCGTGAGGAAATGCAAATCGCGCGACGGATTGAATTAAGGGGACCGCGGAGGGTCAGATTGCTGAAAAATCGTGCTTGTTTTTCATGATATTTTGTGACCTGAACTGAATAAATATGCAAGAATGAAAATTTTAGGTATATTTATTCAACGTATGAAGAGTAGAAAAATTTTGTTTTTATTAACAAATACTCATATAAATATACGATATATATAGCTGAAATATGCTCTCCTTTTTTTTTTTTTCAAGTTATCGTTTTTGCAGTAATATCTCGGCCCTCGGTAGTCCGATCAGAGTGAATTTTAGCGAGAAATCTTGAAGAGACTTATCGTTTATCCGGTAAACCACTACAAAAAAAATGAAACAAGATTAACAAAATGGCAGCTGTTATTAGGAAAAAATTCAAATTTTTCAGTTCTTTCACAATAAAAAGATTAATATCTCGAAATGAAATATTTCGACGGAGTTGTCCATGGTTCCACCCGAGAGCCAGATGAACAAATATTATTGCTTCAAACTTTCAAATCGACACGAAGCTCAGTTTCGGAGAAATCACCGCAAAAGGTTGAACAATAAAATTTCGAGAAAAACTCGTTTAAAATTTAAGTGAACGTATATTTATATGAGTATTTGTTGGTAAACCAAATTTTTCTACTCTTCATATGTTATGTAAATATATCTCAAATTTTCATTCTTGTACATTTATTCAGTTTGTCATAAAATATTATCAAAAACAAGCACAGGTTTTTCAGTAATCTGTGACCCTCTTCAGTCCCCTTAAGGAAAAATAAACAAACAGTTCGCGACGTCTTCTGAAAATTTCGAGTTGTAACCGACCAAGTCTCGGGAAAGAACGCCGCCGCTTCGCTCGCACGACCGGCGGCGGCGAAAGTGGAGCGTCCTAAAGAGCGGTAACTTTTGTCTGCTTACAGAGCGGCTGGCGATCGGAGTATACATGAATCGCGAGTGACTAGCAGCTCAGGACGCAGCCCACCACTCCCCCGTTGTAATGTAATGATAAAAATAATACAGAAAAAACACGACACAGAAAAGACAGAAAAAGCAGAAAAAAAGAGAGAAAGCGCGAAGGGAGGCGCAACGCGCAACGGAAAAGCGACGACTACGACGGCGACGGCGACGGCGACGACGAGCGCGATCGCGATCGCGATCGCGCAAGCAGCAAAAGCAAACACAGAGCGCTCCTCTTCTCTTTCTCGCTCGCGCGGGCCTCCTTTTTTAATTAGGTAAGGGAGCACGATCGATCACTGACGACACACGAAAAGCGCGCGCGCGTGCGTGCGGTTTTATCCCCCGGAACCCCGACGCGCGTCGTCCGTGACCGGTCGTGGACGACGGCGACGGCGACGAACGCGCGCTCGGTCACACGGTCATGCGACGGAGCGAGATAACGGCGTCGCCCGTCGGATCTCTCTTACACAAGTGGAAGAAGCTCCTGTAAATATGTAAAGTTTCATGTCGGGGCCCGTCGTCGGAGTCCCGGCTCCAAGTACAAACAAAGTCAGCTACTATATCGTCGAGTCTTATATATGAGATACATATAGCATGTAAATAAATATTAATTATATAGACACAAGAATTTATATATAATTACATGCGCGTGTATGTGAGTGTGTGTTGTACGAACGAGCGACTGCGAGAGCGCGTGAGTGAGTGAGTGAGTGAGTGAATGAATGAGAGAGAGAGAGAGAGAGGGGGGAGAGAGGGAGAGAGAGAGAGAGAGAGAGAGAGAGAGAGAGAGAAAGAGAGAATACGAGTGCGCGTGTGCGTGTGTGTGCGTGTGCCCATGAGACGCCCGCAGAGCGACGACCTTCTTTTAGGTAGCTGCTCCTCATCTCTCGGAGGATGCTGGGCGAGCGCGGCCGGACGTCGCTGGAGCAACGTGATTTCTCGGCTCTCTCTCGCGCGCGCGAGATCTCTCGCCGAGGAAAGCGCCCGCCGTGTGCCGGGGCATCGCGTGTCATCGCGCGCCCAGGATCGATACCGGGATGAAGGGGAGCAGGAGACAGGTAGACGATGGACAGGCGGAGGTCGAGGGAGAGAGCAAGACAAGAAGGGGAGGGGGGGGGTCGTCGCGGGCGTCGTCGGCGAACGAGTCGGGGAGGAGCGCGTGCATGGGGAGTCGACGCGATATCGTGCAATTTTCAAGAGACGTTTATTCGACGGGAGTTCGTAACTTCGGTGCGGGATCGTTTGGACGTTCTTCGAGGGTCCTCGCCGCGGAGCGAGGCGAGGCGACGTTGGAGACGTAGGGCGTGGTGAAGAGGGGAGGAAGGGAGAGAAAGAGAGAACTCGTCGTCGGGTCCCTCGAGTCGTTCGGTCGGAATTAACGAGACGACGACAGCGAGCGAACGAGCGCCGGCGCGGCGGACGCTCGTCAACGCGAGCGAGCGTTCATTTCTCGCGGGAAGACGCCGCGACGTTGCCCGTTCGCTCGCTCGCTCGCTTAGAATGTACAATAATCTGACTGACGAGTGACTTTCCACTGTCCGCGAAGCTCTGCGCAGGCAGCAACAATCGGTTGGTGCCCAGCGCGGCCGCTTGAGCGATGTCTCTTTTAGGGAACATATTGGTCGCGCGACGCGCGACGGCTAATCGATCGATCGCGCGCGACTTTTCTTTCTTCCGTTTTCCAAAGAAAAGCCGGCCGTCACACACTCCCCTCGGAGACCGGCTCCGTCCGGCCGACGGGCTTGTGTGTGCGCGCCTGTGTGTGTATGAATTATGACGCGCCTAAGATGCAATTTATTCTCGAGGAATTGAAACGCTTTTCTCACGACCGCGCGCGAGCCTCGGCCTCGCGAGTTTCACGCTGAGCTGATTGTCTCGAAGACCTCTCTCAACTACTGTTTTAGTTTTTCTATTCGTCCGTTTTCCTCCTTTCGTTTTTTATTATTTTTTTCTTTTTTCACCTGCCCCTTTCCGACAAAGACTCTCGTGTGTATTCTCCCTCCGTGTCGGCTGTCGGCGTCCATTCGTCCAGCACCGTTCTGTGTGTCGTACCGGTTAGTGATAGAGTTCACGTAGGTGTAATAAGGCGTATAGGGTAAAATTCGTAAACTATACACGAAGCCTCCGGCGGTCGCTCGCGCTCGGTCGGCCGGCGGCAGAAGCAAGAGGAACAGAAGGAGAGAAAGAGAGACGAGTCGACGCGCGCGGTCGCCGGATCGCACACGAGCGTTTTAGCTTCATAATTTAGTCACGGCGAACACGAGGAGTCCACATTTATCCACACACACACACACACACACACACACACACACATGAGACACACAGAGGAAGAGAGAGAGAGAGAGAGAGAGAGATACACTCGCCCATGTACGATAAACACACGCACACAGTCACACCTACACGGACAGCGGCAGTCAGCGCGTGGTGGAACACGAATGAACACGCGGTTGAAGGCGGAAGTGTAAATTTTGTATCTTCGAGATTGTGTATCGTTATGTAATAATAGTATATATATATATATATCTATATATATATATATATATATATATGCAAATGGAGAAGAGAGAAAATAAAAAAACTATATATATATATATTTCGAGACGCGTGGCGGGATCGACCGTCGCGCGCGTTAAGTGATTGTGCATAATTAGCAACTAATTGCGCATCTCGTAAACCCGCATATAGATAGTCAGCAGGATGTAATTGACGACTCATCGGCGAGCGAAGAGCCACGAACCACGAGAGAGAAAGGTCGTACGGGGGTGAGAGCGCCGGGCGATCGTTAGTACATTGTCATTGTCATTGTCGCGATCATTCGATTGATTGTCCATCGATTGATTGATTGATTGATTGCCACTCGTGAGAGACTCACTCGCTTGAGTTCCGACCACATTGTGATTTTCGATTTTACCTACACTCGCGTATGTTTTTTGCGACTAAATAGACGTACGTAGGTAATACGAGGGCCGAATAAGCTGGCGAGGAAGAAGAGAAAGAAGAAGGAGGGAGAGAGAGAGAGAGAGAGGAGGGGGAGAGAGAGAGAGAGAGAGAGAAGTCTCGAAAGAGAGTCGAGAGGAGGTGGGAAGGGGAGGACGCACTTTGTCAAAAGTCTGTGTGATTTCTCGTAGGAGAATGTCGCGCGTACTTTTTCCTCTCGCCGCAAAGACGAAAAGAACAAGGGTTGGGGGGAGGGAGGGGCATAGAGTCAGATGGACGAGTCTATCCCGCTTGGGGGATGGAAAAGGGGTAGCGGTGGTAGCGGCGATTTTCCAAAAGACTGAAGAGAGGAAAGGAAGGGAAAGTGTCGATGGTACTTTGGCGTGGGCCCCTCGCGCGTCCAGGTCGAGAGGATCGATGGGGGAGAAAGAGGAGGTATCTATTAATAGTATTATTAGGGAGTAGCGAGTAGCCTGTGTAAAGAGAACGAAAAAATGATTTCTAAGGGAGGAGGCCGATCGCACCAGCACGAACGCGCGAGAGGGGGGATAGGAGTTTTCATTTGCGGGTTGTCTTTTCCTGGAGAAGCAGGCGAGGAGAGTGAGCCGAAAGATTATTAAACGAGTGAGCGACAAGGGGGCGAGAACAGGCGACAAAAGAAAGAGGGGCGGGAGGGTGCAAAAGGAAAGAGGAAACGAGCGACCCTGTCGCGCGCGCGCGCGCGCGCGCGACCAACAGGATGTCAAACGGATGTGTATAAAGCGACATTGTAAGATATCATTGTAAAAAGAGGTTTTAACTTAAAATAAATTAAATGATAAATCACGCATACACCGACCAATCTTTAATCGAATATTATGTAACTATAGATGTGTATATGTACAATGTATAGCATTATATGCTCTCTCTTTCTCTTTCTCTCATCTTTTTCTCTATACCTATCTTTCATTCTCTCTCTCTCTCTCTCTCTCTCTCTCTCTCTCCTCTCTCTCTCTCTCTCTTTCTCTCTCTCTCTCTCTCTCTCTCTCTCTCCTGTATCTTCGCGCTCAAGATCGCCTGTATTTTACCATTCCGCTGCCTCGATTAGACACCCGCGATTTGCACTGCCCGAAGCGAGTCCGCTGTTTTTTCAATCGCGATAACATCGTCGCGTTATCATCGATATTGGGACGACATAAATTTTCCTGCACGACGAGATCAATGCGACGGCTCTACGTCCCTTGATAAATCTCTCGCAGCGTATAACCGGTATTACGGAATTATTAATGATTTTATCCTGCGTTTCCTTCTATCTCCTCTCTCTCTCTCTCTCTCTCGTCAAAAACGTGACGATATCGCATCGTTATCGGGACACCAATATATCCGCTCTACGAATTGAATTTCTTTTCGCTTCATGGCTGCGCGCGCGTGCAAGAGAGAGAGAGAGGACCGCGGATCTTTAATCAATCACGCGTACCGATAACAATATCGTTACGGAATTATTAATGATTCCATCTCGCTCGCTCGGCCGCATCGCGCGCGCCGCCGTAATGTCATTATCGGCGATGTCGTGAGCAAAATTCTTTCGCGTTCCGAAACAATGCCATCGTTGTGATAAATCGCGTGCACCAATCAACCGCGGCAATACTACTCGGCCGTACGCGCGCTCGTCCGTGCAATCTCCGGTCCGACTATGCGCGTGCATCTCCGTCTCTCGTAACACGCCCGGCTTGTTGGACGCACAATGTGCGTAGATCGCGCACAATTCCGTCAACGTTGTTAGCGCGAGCCTGCGATACGACCGCGAGGATTATGCATTATTATTCGCGGCTAATCCGCGATTAATCACGAGCTTGTCAGCGAAGGGGCGGGAGAGACCAGGCAGCCCGTTTTCGTTCAGCGCGAACGTCGTCGCGCTTCAACTCAGCGTTTCACGCTGGTTGTCTCTGTCGAGGATCATCTATTTTCGGCGGCGTTTTTTCCCTTCCCTTTCGTCGAAAATACGAGACGAGGCGTATTTCCCACGAAAGGCGCCTCGACAATCCGAGTCAATAGCGGAATAGCGGAATAATCTTACCTCTCAACGGCGCTGTGTGCCGCGCAGCAAGAGCGGGGGTCCACAGGTCGATGTCGGTCCGAGTTGCTTCTTCCTGCGCCGTCGTGCAGCTCGCTATAATTAATTAAAAGGCGTAACTTAATTGAGCGTTATCGGGTGAACGAGGCGTTTACATGTAAATCGAGGCAGCGCCGCGAAAACGAAATAATCGCCGCGAGGTCGCGAATCAATCCCTCCTCGCTGTATCGCGATGAAATATCGGCAGCCGCGCGACAGCTTTGATCAGCGGCGTCTGTGTTAACGATCGCGGCGAGATGGCAGTAAAAAGCGAAGGAAAAACAGCCGGAAAACTCACCGGAGGATGAAAAGAGACTGAAGGGGCGGAGGAGGAGGAGGAGAACATCCATAACCAGTCCTCGCGAGTGGATCCGCTTTTCCCGTCCGATCCTTTTCGCGAAATCGCCAACACCGCGACGTGTCTATTACAGACACTCTCACACACACACACACACACACTCGCGTGCACCCACGACTCACGTCATTGCGAGGACGATGACGAAAGCATACGTTTGCTTCCCTCTTATCGAACTTCCGCTCTTTCCCTCCCACTCTTGCCAAGAGAGGAGACACAATCCATCCGGAAAGGAAAGAAGCCGCGGACGTAACTAAGCACACGCGGCGAAAGAATGATGTCCCGACTGACTTTCTACGCCTTCTTCTCAAATGGGACTGCGTGCCGGCGTAATTTTCGCGCGCACGTAAACAAACACTGCGATCGCGCACACGTAAACAAACACTGCGATCGCGCGCGCCAAGGTCGGCGAGAGAGGTGCGTCGGTGACTGCTTTTATCTACGAGAAAGAGAGAGAAAGAGAGCGGGGGGAGGGGGGGCAGGGGCGCCGAGAGGTGCGAGGTAGCGCAGAACGAGGGATTCCGAGGTGCGGGACGGTTATCCCGCGTGCAAGCAGCTATAAATTGTACCGTAACCGTTATCTACTGTGTATTTGAAAATTTATAAATGTGTGATATCTACTTAACTACACGACTCGTCTTCATTCAATTCCCCCCTTCAAGCTCCCCCTTTCTCCCACCGGTCTCCCCCGGTGGACTCTATCGCGTCCCGATTATCTGTTAACACACTCGCGGAAATCCGTCTATTATCCTAGCGAAGGGGAGAGGGAGAATTTTATACCGTAACGGCGAGGAAATAATGTCCATCGACATAACGTCCGGGGGCCAATTTGTCAACATTTCGTGCTGGAGATAGAGAACAAGGAAAAGAGGACGAGCGTAAGACGAGGAGAGAAAATTCGCGTAGCGGGGAGCAAGAAGCAGCCACCTTGGAGGGCAACTTGGAGCACGATTCTCGGATAAACCTCGCCGGCCTCGCTTTTCTCTTCCTCTTCCTCCGCCCCTCTCTCTCTCTCTCTCTCTCTCTCGCGAGACTTCCAAGAGTCACGAGATCGCGCGCTCGTTCTATGAATTAGAAAATCGATATAGGAGAGAGGTGCGCGCGTCGTAGAGCGGAGTCGGATCTTCCAAATCCCCGCTTACGCGCAAGTCGGCCCTCCTCGTTTCACGGCGAATTAGGTCCGGATGGGCCCTCCACGAGGGCTTAGCGGAAGGGACTCGGACGAGCAGAAAGTCGAGAGAGGAAGAGAGAGAGAGAGAAAGAATCGAACCAGCTGCTCGTACGTGCGACGTACGTACGTTTCACGTACGTGTAGCTAAATGCGATCGTCGGCGAATCGCCGGTCGACGTTGACCTTCTGCCGCGAGATGACTTCGAGGTAAGGAGGCGGCAAGAGAAGAGAGAGGAAAGGACGACGGCCCTAGATAGCCCCCGAGACCGGGCGAGAAAGAGAGAGAGAGAACGGGATATATATACTTCCTATAAAAGTGACCGGGATTTCGCGTAATCCCGTTTTCTGGGCTAGCTAACCGGATAGAAGAGACGGGGGGGGGGGGGAATGTATACCCTGCTCGTACATGTGTATCCCCTGAGAGCCGAGGCTTTCCTCTTACGATCGTCATCGCGTCTTTTCTTCGCGAGAGCCGCGCGCTTCCGCGACTCTCTTCCTCGCTTTCTTTTCTTCTCTGAGGTTTACCGCGCGGATTTCGGGAACAAGCGTGTTTTTCCTCGGAGGGTTCGCCTCTTTTCCGAGTCCACCGGGATCCATGGCGCTCTAAATATTCGCATTTGAGAGATAAATTGTCTCTCGTCTCAAGTCTCGATGGTGCCTCGACCTGCCGGAATATTTAGTGGCTCCTCGCGCGGAACCGTCGCCATCGCACGCGGCAGCCGCGAGAAATCCACCTCCGAGCGATATTCGCGCCACGCTTCTCCCGATTCCCGCGTCACTTTGTTAGCGCGACGACGTGATCCTCCAGAGTGTTTCCTCGAGACGAGGAATTCGGGATAAACGTCGGGCTGTCGGGCGAAACGGATCGGTGCCGCGTGAGCGACGCTCGATCGGCGAAGTCACTTCGGCGCGGCCGGCCGGACGGCTCGGAGAGCCGGTAATCCTGTCTGTATATATCCCGCCGCCAAGGGTCAAGCACGGCCGGGGTCAGTCTCACGTCGAGTGTGAAACTTAGATTTCGAACGCGGTCCGGAATAAATAATCAATCGTGGGATTTGCTGCGCGCCGATCGAGGGTCGTCGTCGTGGCGTCGTCCTGCGGAGGAGCCTCCTGCGAGCGAGGAATGCGCGCGCGACTGACGTCGGGGAGAGGACTGAAAGATGATGGCTCCTGGAAGCAGCTACGCGCGAGGGAAATTTTCCTGCACAGACCTGCGCGATCGAGTGACATCGGCGAGCAGAGTCGCGGAAATTCGCAGAGAGAAATTCGTCGAAAATATTCGGGCAATTGCCCCGCCCCGAAGTCTCCCGAGTCCGATCGACTCGCTCCGATGGGTCATTTTTTGTTTCTTGTTTTTTTTTTTTTTTTTTGACAACGGCCGGTGATGCCTGGTGTGTGCGGCGGGTGGGCAGCGGAAAAGGGAGCTCTTGCGAAATCCGGGATTTTATTGACGCCGATACGGGCGCGGAGATTCGATGCGAAGGCCGATACGCGCGCGTAAAACGCGAGCCCGGAAAAATCGCGTGTACACGCAACGATTGCGCGCGTGCGGCGGAACTGTCAGTCGTGCGCAGACGAGTCGCCCGGCTCGCCCGCTCTCGCGATTGAACCCCGGCCGACCCGCAGCAATGACTGCCTGACTGACTGACTGCACAGCAGCCTGGATTCCCGCCGACGGCCGTTGTTTTCCATCGGAGCCGCGGTTATTAGTGGCCGCACGCGACTTTATTCGCGGCGTCACGCACGACCACGTTGTCGTCGGGGGTGACGAGAGCGGGGCGGAAGAGAGCAGAGTTGACGCGCGACGGGAGGCGAGTTGACTCGCTCAGATTTCTCCACGAGACGTTTCCACGAAGCCGACTTTTCTTTCTTTCTCTCTCTCTCTCTCTCTCTTTCTCTCTCTGGCTTGGCTCTCCACCGAGCGGATTTCCATCGCGACCACGTAGACCACGCGGGCTCTCGCCTCTGCACGAGAGGCGCGTTAGCGAGAAAAATGACAAGCGCAACGACAACGGTAACGGTATCGCCCGCGGCTGGAAAAAGATCTCGTCCGGGTATCTGCACTGCAGACTATGTAATAAAGTGGCGTAATAAATAATCATCACATCGCGAGCGCGGCCCTTTCTATCGCGGAACACGATACACGACCGGGCTCTCTCTTTCTCTCTCTCTCTCTCTCTTTCCCTCTCCCTGCCCCTCCCTCCCTCCCGCCCGCCGAGTAACATAGTAACGCGCGAATACACACCAATTCGTCGCTGATTATCGGACAACGGTATATTCCGGCTGTGTCGAACTATATAATTGCCGAGGGCCGACGGCGGTCCGTCCGAGAGCGGCGGGAGGGGCCGCGTAATATAATCTACCGCGAGATCGGCGAGCATCGCTCGGTAGGTTTGCTCGCTCGCTCGCTTACTTGCTTGCTCGCTCGGTCGGCCGACCGGCTGCTTCGTACCGAATAAGACAGAGCGCGGTTTGTTATATTCCTTGAGGAGAATAAGTGTCTATGAGAGGAGTGTAGGAGCGACTCGAGGGCGACGGGGAGAGGGCAGTCGGCGGAGGAGCAAGAGAAGCAGGAGGAGGAGGAGGAGGAGGAGGGGGAGGAGGAGGAGGAGGTGGATCAGCAGCGTTATTAATGGGCACGATTACTTGGCGAAACTCGCGCCTTTGTGCGCCCAGCCTCTTCTAACCCCTACCCGCTTCCTCTCCGCCGCCACCCCCGTCACTCCTCCTCCTCCTCCTCCTCCGCCCTCTTCTCCACCATCACCTCCTCCGCCGCCTCCCCGGGACCCATAATACCCACACGCGCATTCTCCTTTTACACCTGTGCACGGCTGTCTAAGTTATGCATGGGATCCTCCCACAGAAACAATGCACCCGCTCCGCTGTCCTTTCTTCCTCCACGAGTCGCTCTCGTTCTCTCTCTCTCTCTCCCCTGGTATCTATCTGTCTCTCTGTCTCCCGTCCCGCCCGCTCGCTAGCTCCCGCTCTTTTTTTTCGCCCGTTCCTCCGCGTCCTTTTCTTTCTTTTTTCCTCGATGGCTCCATCCCGCCCCGGTCTCGGTACCACCGTCGCCGCGCGTCCGGTACTTGTCTCGCCGAATAGTCATTACCCGAAACGATTTCGCCAACGGAGAATGCGTGCGTGCGCGCGCGCAGCTCGGGACTGCGTGTGTGCGCGATGGTGTACGCCGATACCATCTACAATTACGATCCGGGATGATAGCTTGCGCTTCGCTTTTCACACTGAATGTACACGACAAAGCGGCGCACAAGGTAGCCGTTACTCGCGAGCTGGCCTCTCTCTCTCTCTCTCTCTCTCTCTCTCTCTCTCTCTCTCTCTCTCTCTGTCTCTTTCTCGCACAGAGAGAGGCGCGCGACACTTCCAGCACGACTCGGACGCGAGAGAGCGCGCCGGAGATTTCGGGAGAGACACCTCGCCCTCGCCGGCCGGCGAGCGGCCGAGGAAGAGGGTGAGAGCGCAGCTTTTTCAGACTTTTCGACGCGTTTGAGAGAAGGAGAGACGCGACTTTATCGTTTAATTATCTACAAACGCGCGTAATTACACATTCGGCCGGTGGACGGTATTGAGGCGAGCGCGGCGAGCGCCAGAAATCCGGGGCGCACCGATTTAATTGCGGGCTTGATCGTATGAACGCGTTCTCGCTCGCTCGTCGAATATCTTGCGAAAGAGCGCGCGGAGAGCCCGGCGCGCGTTATACCTGCGCGCGAGGAGGTATCGACGCCTCGAGGACGCCCTCGACGGCCGATTCCCGATCGCCGCTCTCGATCGGCTTCTCTCTCTCTCTCTCTCTCTCTCTCTCTCTCTCTCTCTCTCACCTCCGGCACCTCCTCCATCTGTACACGCGCGTCAGCCCGTTCGCTCCTTCACTCTCTCTCTCTCTCTCTCTCTCTCTCTCTCTCTCTCTCTCGCTCTCTTTCTCACACTCGCTCCTATCTCTATCTCGCCCCTCTTGGGCGTGTACTCTGGGCGCTTTTCGATGGATCGAGAAGCAGGCTCGTTGCCCGATGCGCGTCGATATACATCCGGCTGGATTAATCGCATCAACGGCTGATCGCTCGGAACCCACCTAATCTAATTGGGAGCCCAAAGTCTGTCTACGAACCGCTAGCATTAGCGTCGACAAAATTAAAATTCTGCCGGCCGGCCGACCGGCTCGCTCTACTTCTTCTTGTTCTTCTTCTTCTTCTTCTTCCTCTTGCGCGAGACAGGTGCACGGGAGGGCATCGCGCCGCGGCCTGCGCAAAAACAATACACCCGATACGTTGGATATTTTATTCGTCTTTTTTTCGATTTCTAACACGTTGCACGCAAGAGACGCGCACGCGACATCGCGTCGAGAATGCTTGTCTTTCTCGTGTCCCGCGCTCGGAGAAGCGCGTCTCCTGCTGCAAATTACGTTACGTTAACACGCGCCCCCGTACGTCTTTCTCT